GTCAAGGCAATGTACACATCTAATTGCCCTCTCACTGCTTCACTGTGTTTATGCAAAGTCCTCTAATTCATTTTATAGAGACTGGCAAAATATGCCCCAAATTTTCTATGTGGATCAGAACACAGAATGTTATTTAAAATAAAAATGGAATGAGTCAATCTGAAACAGAAATACTGAGATAGCCCAGCCAAGGAATCTGTTCTCTCAACCACAAAAACCTGTTATTGCTTGTGTGGACTAATTTAAGTGCATTCTTTTCAGCTTCCTTAAAATGCAGCTTTTCCAAATTCACTAACCCCAGCCAGCACAATCCACTTAGTTGCTTTCATGCATGTCACACACACTATTATCCAGCTTTGCTAGCAAAGAGAATCTGAAATCTGAGCATTTTCTGATGGCTGAAGGTACAGCTGAGCTTATTGAGAACAGGAAAACCAGTGAGCCTGCGTGGAACATGGATTGCAGCTTTGGAGAGCTCCATGTTTCATAACAAACCCTGAAAGGACCAGCCCAGCTCAGCTCCAGCCTACTGCAGGGCATGAGAATAAACTGCTAAACTCAGGTATTGCCAACACCTGAATTATGCAAGTCTCACAGGGCTTGGTGTGTCTTTCTTCAGGAGAATCAAAAATTTGCAAATAAATTTCAGTTTTCATTTAAAAAAAAAACTTAAATCAATTTCTGCCTTCTTGTGATTATCAAGAAAAGTTTTAAAATATTTAGCAGATGCACCCTAAAGGCTCAAAAACCTGGGAGAGAATAAGAAAAACCTGTTTGTCTTTTAAAAAAGAATCTCATGACTTATAAGGTGGTATCTTGCTTTTGGGGATGGGCGGATCAGATTAATTTTTTGATAGCTTGCATTTGGCAGTAATGTTAACTTTTACTTACCTTGACATACAACTAATTTTTACTTTCCTACTGCAATCATGCTTTCCCCTATTTAACAGGTTCTGCTAGTGGCAGGTGATTGCCAAATATTTTTTAGGGGGAAAAGGGAGTGCAGCTGTTTATTTATTTGAGCTCCAGGTGGCAAAGGCCAGCATGCAGCTTCCACAAAGAAAAAACTGAGGTGGCACAGTTTTGAAATGCCTTGTTTTCTTCTGCTGCAGAAAAGGGAGAAGATACTGTGATGCATGGGCATAAGGGAGTTCTCCCACAACAATAAGACACTATTCTGCTTTAGTTCTTACTTCACCCAATTTAGAGGGCTTCTCCCTCAACCTCAACAACCTACTCTGTCTCATCATTACAAACAATAACTGCTTGTTCCTTTGCAGCATAGTTTTCAAGGAGGTTTTATTGTATGAGGGTGCATGCAAGAAACTTTGTTCAATTTAGACTATAAAGGCTTTTGTTTTCAAACACTTCAATAGTTTCAATTGTTAAAGATTTTCCTTCTAAAAAGGCTGATTAACCTGCTTATATCCTTACTCACATTCTGAGGTAATTAATTAAAAAAATAATCAAGGATGCTTATAAAGTCTTCTGCAATCCAATCTCAATTTGTCATCATTAATTAGATCAACATTGCATACAAATGAGACCTAACCTGATTAGACAGCATGTTTTACTGGAATCCCTACTTACGGTCATGAAAGACTTCAGAGAGAAAACTTGGGATATTTTCAAAGTGAACTCCTCACACATATGGAATCACCCTGTCACCTAGCATCAGCTACTGTTTCTCTTTGTAATTTTGGCCTTTTTTTCTTCCTCTGTCCACACCCCCCCCCCCCCTTAATTAGGAGCCCATCTCAACCCTGAGCAGAGAAGCTGTCACACTCATCTCCCTCCCAGCCTATATTACACAAATACTGCTGATTTTGCAAAGAGTGTCCACTGTGCTAGGACAATAACCTCGCCCTCTGCAGAATTTGTAGGAGAAAAAACAATACCAAAAAGTTTTAAGAAAAAACCAATTCCAGGTCTTCAGAATTATAGCACCTAAGTCACCAGCAAGTACGCTCTCTACTTTCCCCCACCTCCAACAGAAGTAACCTTGGGATCTAAATGCACAAAGTGGCTTAGAAAGCACCTTCACAGGTCTCCAATCGCTCCAGGAAAGCTCCTCTTGCTTTTTGGAGAAATAATCCATTCCTCTTACCCAGCTCGCTGCCTTCACTCCCATGACCTAATCTGACATGACTCAGCCCAGAAGATCAGAGGAGCTCTGGTGAAGCACGCTGCTGGCCAGGACAGCAGATCCTCTGCCAGGCACCACCAACCCCTCCCCAGAAGGACAAGGTGGGTCAGACTGGCTCATCCCCTCCATAAAGGGGGAAAGTGCAACACAATGAATTTCCTTACATAATATTGTTATCTGGGGAACTGTAAGAGGAAAAATAGGGGAAAAAATAGAAAACTAAACCAAACAAACTAAGAAACAAGGCTTTCAAGTTTTGGACTCTTAATAAGGGTGGGGCCATCAAGTAATTACACTTTTAATAGGTCACTGCAATGGAAGAAACTCTTCCAGTTGGGTAAGCTCCTAATCCATCATTAAAAAAGACGACAGGCATTAATCAAAGTGTATGAAGTCACATGGGGGGGGAGCAACTCCAAAAACTTGCTCTTGCTGAAAGGATGGGGCAATCACTCCTGCTTTCATCAACATTTCATGCGTGTTTCCACACTTCTCAGGACGACAGTGGGAAGCAGAGCCTTCACGTCCTTCCCCACCCACCCCACTGATAAAGCTGTCGAACACAGATTACCAACTGCTCAAGAGCTCATGTGAAATGAGTTGGTGGATTAATTAGCAGAAGGGCAGAGCTCTGAAGATGGATAGATGCTCCACTTCGCAAGGCCTATTGATTGAAGGTCCCCAGCCAGCACCACAGGACTGTCATAATCCACTGGGAACGTAGAGCACACTGCCAGCTCCTGCACGAGCAGCTGAAGCTGGGTCACTTGGCTCAGTGCAGGGACACCTGGACCACACTCCCTCCTCCCTAATCAGACAGCTGTTTAAGAGCCCATTCCTTTAGTAAAATACATGGACTTGGACCTGAACAGACTTGCAACATGCATGGGGAATACACCTTCATCTCCTGGTCCACATCAGAGCAATGAAAAAGTAGGGAAGGCTGAATGAGCCTTTCCCCAGGATGCACACATCTGATGGCTGCAGTCCCCAAACAGTAATTTTACTTCTTTCAAAGTCAGCATGTAATCTGAGCTTTGACCACTACCTAGATCCACATTGAAATTCAGCCCTCACTTCTACCCCAAAAAGCCACTATCACTGAGGTGAAACACCTCATTTAAGCTTGCTAGTAGCTCTCTGGCCTTCATCTCTGCTGGAGCAGCCTACTAGATACGTTCAAACCTCATTTCAAAAGACTGCTTTTCGTAGTTGAAAGGACAGCATCAAACACTCTGGCTCCCTGCAGCTGCGTTAGATAATTCTTTGTACCGTACGTATCAAAAGAGAACGTCTTTTCATATCTCCTTCAAAGGACCCTCTCCAGAACAGTTAGCAAAAATCTAAGCCAACATTTTCTTGCCCTGAGAAATGCAAAGTAGAACTGACCAAGAGTTTCCTTACCTAAAGGGAATTGAAAATAAATATTGTGTGTAACGTAATAGGAGAAACAAGGACATAAAAACAAGTGTGAAGTACAGCAGAGCAGCACTCCCCACGCTGATGAGTAAAAAATGCAATTTCAACTTCACTTAGAAATACTTCACCCTTTTGTGCATAAACAAATGGAAATCTGGTTGTGACTGGACCTATCACATTTTTACCCCTCTTAACACAATCTTCTGAACAAAGTTATTAATGTCAGTTCTAGACAAATTTTACCAGAAAAGGCTTTTAAAATATAAGGGACATAGCCTTATAGTGATCTGTGGTTATATAGCATCTTTTTCCAGATGAGAGCACAAGGGTTCTGCTGCTTTGCTGGCAAGAGTAGCTGGGAGGTTTTTTTTTAGTTGCGTTTGCAGCTAGATTTTATCTGAGATCAAAGCAGTTCCTCAGATTAAAATGAAAAATAAAAAAACCCACACTATTTTAATGCTCTTAACTTTTGGTAAAAAGTCTCTCCTTTTTTACCTAAAAATAAATAAAATAAAATTAAGTCCTTGCTTTTCTTTGGCTAGCGTGGGGCACGACATTATTCATTGCACCTACTCCAAGTGCCAGCAGGAGAGGAAGGCAAATATTGAACATCTCTAAGATAGCAATATTCTCCATTGTAAACATCCCTACTCTAGAGCCTTAAACCACACCAGCTGGACTTACAGCTCCAGCAGTGCTGTGTCCTGAGCTATGAAGTCTCTAGAGCTGGAACAATCGAGTCAGCACCACCAATGATCAAGAGCTGGGCTTCAGGCTTCAAGCTTCTGCCTTTTTTTTTTTTTTTTTTTTTTGTTAAGAAGTGTTCTGACAAAAAAGTGTTAAATAAAAAACCCAAACCAACAAGAAAAGTCTACACTAAAACAACCCCACCCCCTTGAACAAAACCCCAAATAACACACAGGGCTGATTGGAGCTGGCTACACACTGGGTTTCCCATACCAGCTGCAAGAGAAGGACACAGAAATGACAGCCTCACACTACCTGGGTCTGAGTGAGGAGCACCACCTGCACCCTGCTGGCATGGCCCTGTGTACCAAACCTCATACAAACCCATGGATGCTGCAGAAAGCCAAGGGAAGCACTGAGGCAATGCTAATGCCCACACTCAGGTTGTACTCCAGCGCTCCTGCTAGGCCCAAAAAGAGAGCCACTTGTTCATCGTGCATGATCTCTACATGACTGGTTTTTTGCAAGGCATTTTAGTCTCCTGGGATTTAGTGGTATTACTGAGGGTTAAATTCCCACCACACCCTCTCAAAGCAACCAAGATAAATGTCTCCCTTCTGTGTGACACATCACGCCCCACAGAGGACTCGGGTCACTCTGTTCTTGCACAAGGCTGCATGAATAATAGATGAATGAAGTCACTACAGGCAGGGGGACCAAAGGCAGCGAAGGGATGCTGTGTCCTTACCGTCCATGTTGCTGATTTTGCTGTGCTGGACTGTTGAAATGATACATCGAAGCTGTGAGGTCCTGGGTAGTCTGTGTTGGAAGGGATGGCTGGGGAGGGAGAGAGGGCGTCAAAAGTCGAGCTGGGCTGGGCGTAGGGCGAGGGGGCCGTGACGCTGTTCTGCGCGTGCTCCGTGTTGTAAGGGCTGGTGGAGGAAGAGCCATTCTGGATCTGCTGGTCCATGCTGTTCAGGAGCCCCAGGTTCGTGTACTGTGGCTGCAGGCAAACAGATGACAGGAGCGTTAGAGGAGCAGCATCAGCACAGGATGGCAGACATGGCACAGCCTCCACCATGGAGGATGCACAGCATCATCTCAGCACCACTGTTCTTATCACACCAGGAGGGAGATTTGCAAAGGATATCCCCCTCTTTACACTGGTGACTGAAACAGAAAGGAGTACAGCTTCTCAGTCACACACTGGACCAACAGTAGAGCTGGAAAAACAGCCTGTACACAACCAGGAGGTGATTTGCAGGGCAGAAAGCAAAGAGAGAGACAGGCTTGCTATGTCTAGCAACACACACTCAGACCTTTTCAAAGGTACTGCTGAACGGAAGTCAGCAGGTTCACTACAGTGCAACTGGCTCTAACTTGTACAAGGCTACACCATCTTCAATAGTCTGATGCTCTACACAAAGGCTACAGATCTGATCCCACTACACAAGATGACATCAGCACCTCTGACTCCGGTGGTAACTGTGCTGAAATGTGACTCACTGGAAAAACAGTTAGGTGCCACCAGCCTATCTGCACCTTGCATTCAACTCCTAGTGACCAGTCACAGATGGTGGTGGAGAATTAAAGTTCTATCAAGCAGAATGGAAACAGACTGCATGGAAGGCTTATTCTCTTAAGAAGTAAGAGTTGTACAGGCAGTAGTAGTAGTAAAGTACTACTTAGCACTTTAAAAGCCTTCAAGTACAAACAATATACGAAACAACTGGAAGACATCAAAACCACAAACCTCTGAGAATAGAATACAGAAAGGGCAAAGGTTGGATTAAGGAGAGGTTAACAGAAAAAATACATCTAATACCAAAATTCAATGTGTAGCCATAGTCTCCCACCTTAAATAGAGGGGAATACAGTCTAGAGGAAGGTGACCAGAATAAGCAAATCCTTTTAATGCCCTCCTGTAATGTGACAGTCAATGGCAACTTTTCAGCCTAGGAAAGACTATGAGAAGAAAGGTGGAACTCAGCATGATAGAAGGTGATAAATTCCTAGACAACATGGAAAAAGAGCAAATACAAAATTAATTTTCATGTTCTCTTAAAAGAGGAGTTGGGGAATAAGCAAACATCTTGAGCAGAATTTTGGCTTAAACACAGTTATTCTTCACAAAAGACTTACGCTTCACAAAACCCACAAATAAGCATGGATTTTTTTTGCCACAAAATGTCACAATACTAAAAGCCTAAGTTCAAAAAGGCAGGAGACAAGTTCTGCTTGAGAAAAATCGACCAAAACACGGCACTGGCCAGAGTGACAGGGCAGCAGGCAAGAGGGATTCAGTCAGGTACATTGGGTTCACAGCCCCATCCTTGTGTGTGTCCAAAGGGCACTGTACCCATCTCAGGACAAGCAGCATCACAAAGTTTGTGGTGCCCATTCCCAGAAACTCTGGGCTCAGCCAAGAACATGCCGCAATAAAGGCACCTGGTTCTGCTGTTAGCTGCTGACACAGCAGAAGGGACTCAGGCTCCTTCTCTCATCCAAGGCTCCAAGCAGCTCATGTCCCTCAACACCCTGTAGCTCCAGTCCCACCCAGAGTGACCAAGCTCACCTATCTGTCAGTATTTCAGCTACTCCGCTCACAACTTCCCTCATCTTTCCAAGAGCTATTCCTCTTCTTATCAGCCATGAAGCAAAGGCTCCCTGAGACAGAGCACCAACCACAAGATCCATAACAAAAAGCTTTCTCAATACTGGGAATCCCAGTAGCCCTACTGAAGCTTCAAGTAGCACATAACTCCTCCAAAGACCTGAAAGGGAAGGGCACAACCTATCTGTTGAGCTCTCTTGGAAACTTTGGATAAGCCATGTAACACCCAGCTTTACCAGTCAGTTCAGCCACAGAGGAAAACAGGATGGTCCCTTTGCAAAGATGAAGTGTCTTCCGTGTGCCCAAAAGACCTCACATTCTCAGCTGTACTTCCAGAATGGAAGTAGAGAAATTTAAACCACCCACTGCAGCTCTTCCTTAGGTTTCTGTTTCACTAGAAGAAGCTAATATTTTCTGGGGGTTTTATTAAACACCCAAGGTGAGGCTGGTGCTCTGGGATCTTCAGTGAGGCACAAGGGACCTTCCAGAGATGGATCAGCTTGCTACTAGGAGCTGTGCTGTGAAGGTCTGGGGAGGGGAAAGAGCACAAAAAACTTCATTTTGGAAGCTGGGATAAGCCACAGAGAGAAGGGAGAGCTGGTTCCCTCCCTGGCTCTGTCAGAGACTTGCTGTGTCCTTGGGCAAGGCTCCTCTCCTCCCCCTCCACCCTCAGCCTACTGCAGGCAGCAAGGTCTGCAGGGCAAGGATTGCTCCTCACCCTGTAAAAAGCCCTGCACTTAATGGGCCTCCTTTGTCTCAGGCCTGCAGGCAGAAGAGTAATAAAAGCAATTACATATTGAGTCCTAATCCTGGGTGAACCAGTGACTCAGGTTAGTCATTTGCCCTCCTTGCCTCAGTTTCCCCCTCTGGAGCAGTGTGGATGTTATTATTGCCCAGCACCCCTGTTAGATGGGAGATCTTGGATTTAATTGGACTCAAGGCTAAACAGTTGATGGGGGAAAGAGTGATCCAGACTGGTTCTTCTTCTCCAAAAGGAGATTGCAGCTTTGGCAACACAGATGACAGTTATGTCTCATCTCCTGCAGGCTATTCACTCAACCAAGACCTATTTAACGGACTTTGGGTACACATCTTCCCTTGAGGCTAATTCCATAGGGAAAGAGCCAGAATTCTGACGTGCTGTACCAGGAAGAGTCTTTTACTTGATCGATAATTTTGCATTTCATCAAAAAACAACCCTCCTGCCCCAGAACACCCTAGAGAGATCCGAAGACTTCTCAAAAATGTAAAAGTATCATTCAATTATTTCATTCCTCACGGAGATTATAATCAGATACACTCCCTAACCAGCAAATGATGAGAAGACAGCTGTGATGAAAACAGTCTCCTACACCAGCTCAGACACACAGACAGCAGAACAATAGTGTTTCGGCTTTCACTTAAAAACTATTTCTCTAATCCCAGGCCACTTAAGTAAGCTAATGGGGAAAGATGGCCAACCAAGCAGTCGGTGTTAACAAGACAGTACAGCCTGGAAATGCTGAAGGTGCTGCCTGGGATCCAATTAAACAAAAATAATAGAATAAGTGCCCCATTAAAATGTAAGATATCCTTCAGATATTCCAAGATCCTTTTCATTCCTTTCAGTCCAGGGACCATCTGTCTAAATGTTATCGGCGGAGCAGCCATTCCAGTGCATTTATACACTCACATGCCACAGCCGAATGCCGTGTCCCCATTTGCTCTTTAAATAACTATTAATCTCCTTGCACTTATCCTCATGCTGACACAAGCAGCTGTTGGACTCCCCTTCTGCTGCTTCGAGTCCCGCCAGCCTTTCACCTTCCCTGGCCCCCGGGTCCCCTCCCTGGGCAGGTGCTCCATCCCTGTGACAAAGCCACCAGGTCTGCACACACCCCAGCACTAACCCGGGCTCCAAGCTATGCCCCGGGGCAGGCGCGCAGTTGTTTGCGCTCAAGGGGTCAACACCTGAACTGCTTGCAAGGTTTTGGAGGAATCTGATAAGGCCTGGGGAGGCACACGCCTTCTGACAACAGGACAATTAGAGGGGCAGCAGGCCCGGGGAAGGCACACGCAGGAATTCACCCCCTTGGCCCCTGGGATGGGGAGAACAAAGAGGCTGCAGGCTGTCTGCAAGGTATTGCCCCTCGGGAGGGGGCTGCAGGGCGGGTGTCTGCACACACACCGCTTCCTTCACCACCCACGGAAAGGAACATGACAGCGTTTAATCCAGAAATTCATTCGTGGCAGGGTGGGAGCCCAGAATTTAACACATGCTTGTATTTTGCTGTGGGGTTGTTTTAAATGACTGAAATGTAGCCCGACCACTGATTCCTGATATAAAGAGAAAGCTATTTGGTTGAAAGAAATGAATTGCATATAAAGCTGAAAGAACAGATTATCTAATTTTCAGTGCCTTTGTTTGCTATTTTGTTCCCTCCATTAATATCACTGAACCATTATAAAACCCTTCGGGCAGTCTAACAGCAAATAATTAGAGAGCTCCAATTAGATCTTAGACTACGTATTTCGGAACATCATTTCAACAATGCATCTTGAACTATCAGTTTCGCTTCCTCTATGCCCATCAGCTTCGCTTTCAGGCTCTCCTGCCAGCTCACGCCTGTGGGCCATGGCTGTGCTGGAGGGTTCACACCAGGCTGCAGAGCGGTGGTGGTTCCAGCGGGGCTCTGCCGGCGGGGACACGGGGGACAGGCACAGCAGAGCCACAGCAGGGCTGCCACCAGAGGGCAACGCCAATGCCAGCGAGGGGAGATGCCCCAGCCCACCCAAACCGAGACCTCCTCACCCTGCCCTGCAGCAGGAACCCACCCCTGCCTCTCCGCCTTAAAGCCCGCTGTGTACATTAATAAGGTTATGAGAAAATCTGCAAAAAGACCCTCCGTTGGAAAGGAAGTAACTAGTGCAAGTCATGAAAAGCTCTGGAGGGGACTTCCACTCAAAAAAATCCCCTAAAACACACAGCTCCAGCTATTAACTACCCAGTTAGCAGCATTTCAGGGAGTTTTGAGAGTTTCTCCACTTGAGAAAATAGATGAGAAGTTACCATCTTCAGGTGTAGAACACCTCCACCCCTATCAAAACCCTTCCCCCAGTACCAAAAGAACAAGCATTACCATACACACCTACTGACTGCATTTTAATTCTCACCACCGGGTCTATGCAGCTTAAGAGCAGCGTCCAGCTACTCAAAAGCCTTGCAAAAACACCTGCTGCTTATTCTCCAAAAATATGAGATGATGAAACTAATAAACTACCATTGTTATCAGCAACAATAAGATTTGCACAGTACTTCGGAGATCCTGTGCCTTGTCCTTAACTGCAGCACAATGAAGCACTAGGGCTAACTCTTGTAGGACTAGTAAGCAACTTACAGCAATATTTCA